CCCCGCCACATGCCCTTAACATACTCTGCATTTTCAGCTGTACGGATGTTTTTCTGTGATAAATAATCACACTATTCTTTACAGATTATCTGCATGGGGAGGGGGGGAGTTGTTATTAACTGGTCGTCCTCCCCCTGATCAGGAGTATTAAGTTATGAATGGTTAAGCCTGAACCAGAGAAGACTAACCTGGTCGTTTGTCTCATGAGGTACCATTCATATTGAAAGTATCAAATGGTTTTAAATCTTAAAGGAATGAGTTAATTATTGTAAGTTAGGGTTGAATATTCCAAATTTTGTACAATAGCTTTGAGGTAAGTTTAAGGGTTTATAACACTATAATTCAGAGTTTGATTCCTACAGAGGGCACAGTACAGATAGCCCTTTGAGCAACTTTCTGACGTATTTCATCCTTGTCAATAGTATAAAGGTTTTATTATATATGTTAATAAGATCCACAGAGTAAGTTACATGATTGTAAAATAGACTGAGTAACATTTTACATGCTTTAAGGAACGATATGGTTATTAAGTAAATTCTCAGAACTTATTGGTTATCCATTCATGTATTACTTTATTGTTTTATTTCATATCATTTGTTGCACGTTTAATCCCTTAGAGATTTATCATTTGTTGCACATTTAATTCCTTAGAGATTTATCATTTGTTGCACGTTTAATCCCTTAGAGATTTATCATTTGTTGCACGTTTAATCCCTTAGAGATTTATCATTTGTTGCACATTTAATTCCTTAGAGATTTATCATTTCTTGCACATTTAATCCCTTAGAGATTTATCATTTGTTGCACGTTTAATCCCTTAGAGATTTATCATTTGTTGCACGTTTAATCCCTTAGAGATTTATCATTTGTTGCACGTTTAATCCCTTAGAGATTTATCATTTGTTGCACGTTTAATCCCTTAGAGATTTATCATTTGTTGCACGTTTAATCCCTTAGAGATTTATCATTTGTTGCACGTTTAATCCCTTAGAGATTTATCATTTAATTATAGTAAATATATCTATCTATACTTAAACTTACATTTAAAATATATTGTAAAGGAGACGTAAATAAATCTCTACTAAACAGTATATGAAAGATATAATGATTGAAGGCAGTGTTTAATATATGAAAAAGTTCTGAAACTGACTTATAAAAGATTCATAGGAAAAGATACTGATATATCACAG